GATAAAAAGAAGAGGAGGCGCTATGTGGCCAAAACACACTTCCTGTCTCCGGGTGACAATGCTTCACAGTACAGTACAGTGAATGAGGGCTGTCACTCTGAGACAGGAAGTGTGTTAATGGCTGGATCACCAGGTGAAAATAAACAGAAACAAGTCTGAATAAAGGAAATGAATGCAGCCACCACATCTAAGGATCATAAGTTGCAATATGTGGCATTTTTGTTCTTTGATTTAGATAAACTTTAACAGCAGCAAACAGATCTCACCTGTCGTTGTTCTAAATATGACATGTGGTTGGCTCTTTGCAGCATTGCACAGCACACAATTCCATTTCCACTAAGCTCATGTATATGTTACAAAGCCTATTTTCTTGATCATTTCTGTGAGTAAAAATAAATACTAATATCATTAATATAAATATGAATTAACAGGTCATATCATGGGAAACAATGGTCAGTAACAGAACAAATAATGCAAATGAATAAGTGCTAGTCATAGTCACAGCCTCAACGGAAGTGGAATGACAACAGAAAAGCATGCTGAGTGCATGCCGGTTTCACGTCATAGGAAAGCTGATTACTTGGCGATTCCACGTGGAGACAGGCGTTCTCCAGCCAGAATCTTGGTCAGGTCAGTCAGGTTAATGCCTCAGTCATGTGGCATCCACTGTTATGATTTGAATAAGCTCATGATGCCAGATCTATCAGAATGTAGTATGGGCAAGAAATGGCCACTTAGCTGGTAAAAATAAATAAATGTTCAGCAACTGTAAGCTTTGTGAAATATTGACTGGGCTATTAGGTAAGGTGTATGGAATATTTATATATTTTTATTAGTTATGGATAGAATATGGAAGGGTTAGAACCTTTGTCAGGTTTAATTGCTGCCTATGTTTCCACTTGGGGGATTCACCCCTCCATTTGTTGTCTTTTGAGACAGAAAGTAAGGGGAAATCAAACACGTGTTGTCAGGGAAAATCTTTCAATAGGGACACTGTAACTAGTGACAATGGAAATTCTATTCACTTTGGAGAGACTGCCTCTCATTTCCTGTTGCATCAACAACACAGGAAGTAAAGGGGAATCCTCCCTAGCAAGATGAGGGCAACAAAAATAACCTAATAGGAGTTTCAACCCTCCACCATGAAAGATTTAGACCCTTTGTCAAGTTTTTATTGTTGTCTATGTCTTCACTTGGGAGATCCACACCTCTTTTTGTCATCTATTGTGACAGAAAGTGAGGGGAAATCAAAAACTTTGGGCTGTCACCAAGAGGTGAGGACAAATCTTCCAATGGGGACTCATACATGTGACAATGGGAATTCCATTCATTTTTGAACTTCCCTTTTACTTCCTGTTGCATTTCCAAAACAGGAAGAAGAGGGGAAACCTCCCTAGCAGGACACAGGCAACAAAAATCCCTAATAGGAGTTCACTATGGAAGGGTAAAACCCTTTGTCAAGTTTTTATTGATGTCTGTGTCTCCACTTGGGAGATTCACCCCATATCTTTTGAGCCAGAAAGAGAAGGGAAATAAAAAACTGCGTGTTGTTACCAAGTGTAGAGGTAAAATCTTCCAATGAAGACACTATTCCTTGTGACAATGGAAATTGAATTCACTTCGGAGAGACTTTCACCCATTTCCTGTTTTGTCTTCACAGAAAGTGGAGAGGAAATCTCCCCAGCAGGACATAGGCAACAAAAATAACCCAATAGGAGTTTTACCCTTCACTATAATAACCTGTCACGGAACAAATACAGTCACTCCCACTTCTGAAAATAATAGTTGCCTGGCTGTCATTCTGACCCTTTGGCATCAATACTTTGAGTGACTGACCGAAAATCATTGTGCAGAGCATGAGGTCTGCATTCTGATTTTACCTGCTGTGTTATGTTCAGGGTCAGTGGCCCCAACATAACAGCCTATTGGCTATTATGTTGGGGCCACTGACCCTGAACCAACCAGCAGTTGCAGAAGGTTTTCAGCAAAGAAAGCCTCCATTTATATCTCACCGGTGTCCTTTAAAACAAACCTTTCCTAAGACATATAAGGGGAATGCCATTACTGATCTCCCTCTATAAAAAGCTTGTTTCCTGGCTGTTCTTCTAAGCTACCGGCTTTAGTACTCTGAGCTGACACAAATATGCAGATCGGGAAAGTCAGAAATCCTTATATGCATACTTGTTCTGTGTTTGTGACACGAAGCATGGCATCAAAATGATCGGTATGACAGCCAGATTTACAGAACAAAGCTGCCCATACATTGCTCCAATTTTGGCTGAGTCCTGTTGACTTGGACACAATTCCACCAATTTGTGTGTGTCCCACCATTTAACAAAGGTTGATATTTCAATTGACTTATCTTGAAGGAGCTGGTCTGAAAATTGTTGGGCGGAGTAGTGATTGCAGCCAATCTGCAGTCCCTGTTTGGGTATTTTGATAGCTGCACACCCATCGCTGTCAGTGTACAATAGCCTCTCAGGGGGGATTCCCCCATCCATGCTGTTTAGGGTGGAGGGGGAAATCTGTCTTTTTTTCTTCACTTAGCCCCCAGCCTGAATGAAATATAATCTTCCAGAGTATGGCCGGTTTAAGAAGTCAGCAATGAACGCCTCAATGTTGATTTCAGGAAGAATGAGGACCATTTGGTGATAACTTTCTGCATGGATAATGGTCACCTACAGCTGTATACAGTCACTGGCCCAACCACTTTATTGCTACAATACACTTTTCATTTCTATTACCATTGTCCTTTCTTCATACCAGTGTACAAAACCATACATGTGTTTTAATGTTTTATTGCAAACCCTTGGGTTTGGGTCACAAAAAGATACATTTCCTCTTATTATAGTACATTGGCATTTTTGTAAGTACATCCATCAGTTTAAATATACAGCTCTAGTATATATACAACATGTACAAAGATGGTCAGGAATGTCAAAAAATAAATCATAAATAATGTACATTTAAACCACATATTACAGCTTCAAATAACTAAATGTGGGGCATTTTGGTCCATAAAATCCATTTCTAAAAATAGAAATCTTTGAATAGCAGCAATGCTTTACTTCAAGCATTTGAAACAAAAAAAAAAACAAAACAAAACAAAACAAAAAAAACAAAAAAACAACAAAAAGGTCATTGCAAGCCCATGGCAATACACTTAGTTAGTTCTATCTAAACAAAACAACAAAAATGTACATTAAACTTCACTTCCACATATGGAAGAAAAACGGTACAATGCCCCAAAATTAGTGTCACATTAATGTGTGACAATCACAGTTATACTGCAATTGTGAGTCACACTCATACCACTGTTCACTTGTGAATGCAGAGTCCACCAGCCAAGAAATTCCATCTCATTTAGACAGTTCTCAAGCTATTCAGGACCTCTGATTGAGAAAGGCACGTTGCAAAAGAAGACAAATCATAGTAAAACCTCGGATGTTCTCCCACTTTGATGACTCTTCACGAAACTCCTCAATCTGCTTACAAAGTCTGGAATCTGCAATCTCACTGGCAGGGCTGATTTCTTCATGAAATCAGCCCATCACGGCTGAAGGCCATGCCTTTAATAAAGTCACTTATTTTTCCCTCGTTGACTAAGCTCCACTGTGCGTTCTTCCAGAAAAACTGGTCATGTTGAAATTAAGGCTGTGATGCTGTCATGAAGGATGTGCAACTTTTGTGACTTGACTAAACGTGAGCACACGGTGACAGAAACCTTTCTCAAAGGAAGGACTCCAAGGGTGGGGCATAGGAGAAGCCCATAAAAGCGTCTGCTGCCTCTTTAATGCTGGCTGTTACGAGGATGCCGTCAGATGACTGGCCAATGGAATTTGGAACTGGCTCGTCTGTGAATTCAGGATCAAAGTGTTGCAAATCGCTTGGGCCACTCTGTTGAAAAGGAAGGTAAACAAAAACAGTTTAGGACCACAAACTTGCAAATGAAGGCGATACTTCCACATTGTGCTACCTCAGCCCCCAAAACCTTTAGAGAACTTCTAAAAAAAAAGCTCTTCCTGCCAGATGATCAGCCTGGCACCATGTTTTATAAAGTTACAGATCAGTGCTGTACATCTAAATGCATACATAAATCTTGCATAACTGCACTAACAACTTATTTCCTTCTCATCTAAGACACAAAAGTCTGATATACATGCAAGTCAACCATTTAAAGTCTCCAAAATTAAAAATAAGCTTGCATTAAGGCGTAGCTGCCTAATACTTACCACATTTGGGTTAAAAGGAGGAGTAATCTTCTTATTGATGAGATCATCCCAGTTAATTGGAGAGAAAAAGATGTGGTTCTTAATCTCCATCTGCCGGCAAAGAAGGAATTGGATTAGATCAAACGTAATTATGCAGACATGATCTTTGAGCGTCAGAGCAGCATAGTCATTTTTTTTTATATAGAACTTCCACTTACAAAGTCGTTCTTGGCACCGAGTCTCTTAGTGCGATCTTTCTGCAGAAGGCCCTCCAGGAGATTCCTGGCTGAGTTGGTTATGTTTGGTTTCAGTTGCAGGGGCTTATTCAGGATGTTGTCATACATCTCGGCTGTATTACGGCTGTAAAACGGTGGCTACAAGAAACAAGTTATGTGTTAGCTTTGTGAACAACTCTTTACCATTAATACATCTCTTTAAAAAATTTAGCTGGTGAAATATAAATAATTTAGATGCTCCTTACCAGGCCATACAGCATTTCGTACAGTACTGCTCCTAAGCACCACCAGTCAACTGTTCTGTCATAAGGCTGTTTGTGAAGAACCTCTGGTGCTAGATACTGTAAACAGAAAGAAAAGTTATTAGATAAGCCACATTCTGATGCAGAGGATCAAAATCGTATAGTATCCACGATAAAAAAATATATATATATATATATGAGACATACCTCTGGGGTGCCACAGAAAGTAGAGGTGGTGCCATTGGGTTCAATGTTCTCCTTGCACAGTCCAAAATCAGTAAGCACAATGTGACCCTGTGAATCCAGTAATATGTTCTCAGGCTTCAAGTCTCTGCAAAGAAAATGCAAATATAAGATAAGACAGTGCTCACTGCATACAACACAAGACTGTGCTCAATACATACAACACAAAACAGCACAGAGTCTGTTAGATTAAGGAGAGGCAACTCACCTGTACACAATATTCAGAGAATGCAGGTATCCCAGTGCGCTGGCTATTTCAGCTGCATAAAAGCGAGCTCTTGGTTCCAGGAAGCAACGTTCTCTTTGTAGATGGTAGAAAAGCTACAAGAGAAAATATAAATAGAGATTAGAGAAGAAGCTCAAGCAGCTGCACTCATACAATTGACGTGTGCTAGTGCGCAGAGCTAAAAGACAATGGCTGGAAATTGCTGGCTGATCAGCAGCAGCCTGAACCTTGGCAGCCCATAGGGAAATGCTAAATCTAGCAACTTTCCACCCTCCAGCAGTATTTTCCCATAGTGAGAGAGAAGACAATGCTATCGCTAGCTGAAACAGGAAAGAAAAGCATGCTGGATGTGACTCCTGCTTACCTCTCCACCATTGATGTAGTCCAAAATGAAGTATAAGCGGCTGGCCGTCTGGAAGGAGAAGTGAAGCCCAACCAGGAAAGGGTGCTTGACGTTTTTTAATAGCACGTTGCGCTCTGACATTATGTGTTTTTCCTGAGGGTAAAGAAAAAAAAAAAAGGAACATCAACAACTGACAGCAAGTGACATCACAGAAGAAAGATGATGTTTGCCTATAACAACCAAAGTGCTTCAAACTATCAAACAAGCTTTGAAGACTAACAGGGCTATTCAGAAAAGGGTGAAGGGTTTGGAGAAGGCAGGAGAAGTGATCAATCTAGGACAACTTAGCTAAACTGGAAAGTGAGCTGAATTGGAGAATGTTTCCAAATCAGTTATGTTGTCCTAGATTGTTCACTTCTCCTGCCTTCTCCAGACTCTTCACCCTTTTGTGAATAACACTGTAAATAAGCATTTTTGTCTGGTTGCTATGGGCAAGAAGATTTTTATTTCCCCATAACACACTCAGTACACAACCCATATGTCACAACCGATTCCTATTGTTGGTTTCCTTAATAACACATTGTTTGTTATAACTTATTCCTCATTCTCAAGAGCAGAGCTCATGAATTCCCGATTGACCAGTATGAGTCACATAGAGACGAGAAAGTAAACACAAAACATAATTACCTCTTTTTTCTTAAGGATCGCTTTCTTCTGTAAAACTTTAACCGCATAGAATTTTTCATCGGCTTTGTGTCTCGCCAGGAGCACTTTTCCAAAGCTGCCCTTCCCGATGATTTTCAGAAACTGGAAGTCGGATGGCTTGGCACAAGGATTGGATGATGGACCAAGGTTGATCTGTTGTGATGGGCTGGGCTGAAAAGCGAATGATGCTACTTAGTATACAGGAAGGTATCCATATATTTGGTTGATACGAAAGCAAGCAGCCTATAATTAACTGTTCTAGGCTTATAAATGTACTATTAGATGAGAAATCATAAATTAGGCAGTAACAGCTAGACTATTATTAGGGCTTGTTTACACTAGGATGAGTTTTGGCATGCACACTAGTGTCTGTGTGAGGTCCAGCACCGGGCAGCGAGATGAATATTTGTTTAGCACAACATGCAGTATTTTTTTAAATTTTATTGAGAGTTCACAAAGACGCACTCCAGTCTTGTCTACACATAGCAGCACGGTGCAATGCACTGCACTGGGGTAACATATAGTACGGTCTAATATGCTGCAGAAAGATACAGCATGTCTACAGTTATCAGCACCGCACATCACTGCAGTATTGCAGTGCGAAAGGGGCACACGGAAAACTATTTTTTACTATGTTGCCCTTGGTGTGTAAAAAAGTATCAGTCACTACATACAGTGCAAACGAGCGCAGAAGCATTGAATAACAGCAGTATAGATACTTACAGGGGGTGAGGGATTGCCGTTTAACAGTTCTGGCTCCGTAGGCTGTGAAATATTCAAGATGGATTGCACTTCATTACTGAAATAAAGGAACAGAATGAAAAACTTGTTAGAAATCGGATTATGAACAAACTACAAGTTTGGCCACTAGAGGGCAGCACCACCCAGTTAATAAAGCCTTATTCATCCAACCATAGGCTCCCTGTAGGGAACAAAACTTCCCCTTGTGAAAGTATTCTCTGCCTTCTGACCCCGCTATCAACCTTATGCACAACACACACTCTACAATATGATTGTATAACTTCCTTTAGATCTACCAGCAACTATGCAGTGCAAAGGCCTGACTGATTGATTGCATAGTTTAGCTACGTCCACATATTACATCGTTTTGCTAAATCTATAGTTGGTTGTACGGTCCAATTGTAACGTGCATGCTGGCCCTAAGATGAGAAGCACAAGCAATTCTATGTTCTACTTTATTATTAAGCATGATCAAATGCATAGAAAACGCATGCAGCAGAAAGTAGACTGTGCCACGCCAACCCTTAGATGAGAAGCACGAGCAATTCTATGATCTACTTTATTATTAAGCATGATCAAATGCATAGAAAACGCATGCAGCAGAAAGTAGACTGTGCCACGCCAACCCTTAGAAGCACAATCAATTCTATGGGCTAATTTATTAATAAGAATGATCAACTGCATAGAAAACACATGCAGCAGAAAGTAGACTAACACACCAACCATTAGAAGAGAAGCACTAGCAATTCTATGGGCTATTTTATTAATAACAATAAACAACTGCATAGAAAACGCATGTAGAGGAAAGTAGACAGCAAGCAACTTACACATTTCCATATAGGCAGCCCAGAACTATATGATGACCTAAGGCTCATCATGCATTATAATCGGACCATGCAATCTCTGTACAATCAGTTTTAGATCTACCAAAATGTAATATGAGTAACTATCCAACCAATGTGCAGCCAGTCAGGTTGGCTGTAGCACTACCCAGCTGGTGGCAGATTGTACAATCAGATTGTAACATGCGTGGTGGGCTTAATCCAGCTTCTAGCAGATAAACAAGGAAATGCACTTACTGCTTGCAGGCATATGTGTTGGTGGAGATCTTCTGAATAAAGTCATTCAATCCCATTCTTCTCTGTTTCATGAAAGCTGTAAGACACAAGAAGAGAAGTGCTGAGTTTAGAATAGGCAGGAGATGCATCCATCATATGCACAGATATATCCTCCAGGTACCATCCGAACAATAAATCCCTTGAATGATCCACTCACCGATGAGTAGAGCTACCATGCCCCTCATTTTGGAATAAGTCAGTGTAGTGGGTACGTTGTCTGTCTTCACTGTCATGGTTGCGTTGTAGTAAGTCCTTAGGGAGTAATTGAAGAGCTACAGACAGACCCCAGAGCACGGAGGTTCTAGAGTCCTCGGAGCTCAGCCTGGGCTTATATATGGGATGAGCGGAGGGGCGGGGCCAGGAACACAATGAAAGAACTTTGGCTCAGGCTCAAAGCGCCCCGATCCAGCCGGGGTCGGTCAGCTGCTGCTGCGGGAGCCGCCCCTCGTTCGTTTCCTGACGTCAGGGAGGGAGGGGGGTGGACAGGGGACTGTGTGCAGACTCATTGCTCCCTGCGCTGGAGAACTTCATGTACGGTGCCCTGATCTGTCTGTGCCAAGCAGGAAAGAGGGCATGGCAACCTGTCTGGGCACAATCAGCGGAGAAGAGAGCAGGAAGCCTCTGTCCTCGCACTTATTTCATCGACTAGTCCTAGCTAAACTGAGCGAATAAATGAACGAATGCTGCACAGATCTGGAATGTGCAACATGTTAAAAAGCTACAAGAACAGAGTACACAATACAACACAGACGCTGGAAATTACACACACACACACACACATATACA